ACTTTTAAGATTAAACAAATGTTCACAATTAATTTCAATAAATTACAAGTTAAGAAGGGCATGGACATTCCTCTTTTTTGTATCGCAAAAAATATCGAACCATGAGACTAAATTATCGAACCGAACCGAATTGTAAATTTTCTGTATCGTTGCACCCCTAACTCAGATATAATAATTTACATCCTTTTATATCTTTAAACTAAAAAAAGTTTCTTATTTTTATATTGTTTCTTAAAAAAACACTAATAACCAACAGAACCTATGTTTTTTTTTGTGTAATTGCTAAACTGATCTGGGTAAACATGCTCTAACCTTGGTGTCCATATTGGGGTCCTTGAGGTCCATAAAGACCTGCGGGGCCACTCTGGGAGTATGYACCCATACCAGGATACATTGAACCCCCGGGGGATGGGTGGGGGGACATAGGRGGTCCGGACTGTGGGGATGCAAACTGGGAGCCGGACTGGTTTCTCTGCATGCCGGATACAAAACCTAAAACACACAAACAGACGAAAAAGGCGAGGTGAACCCAAWAACTCGTAGAGGCACTTTGATGAGAACTACAGCAAGGAACAATATCAGCCTAAAAACAGATCAAGTCAAAGGATCATCAAKGTAAATAAAAACAGAGAGCATTTAGTGAATGGTTTTGTTGACAAAAACCCAGGTAAAGCACACACCTGGTGTAAATGTGAGAGAATGGAAATGCTTGAGGTAAAACARGAGCTCCACTCTCCACAGAATAGTTACTGATTTGACCGTGGCTTCTGTGTTATTCTAAGCSGTTCTGTCAATAGACGTGTCAAAGCCTCTCAGGCCCAAGCTCGCCTGCACCAATCAAATTGACATTTGGAGCGATCCTCGCCTGGGCTTCGCTCTTTCAAGCTGAGCCATTCGTTTTTTTTTAAACCCACAGAAAGGTCTCCCAATCCACCGCGAATGGAAAAAGGTCGCTGGACGGCCATTGTGGGAGAAGAGAGGCTGTGTGGGGGTGTGGAAATGTATGAGTTCAGTGTTGCAGATTAGGTGTAAATGGATTGGGTCTGCTCAACTGTAAACTTTGATGGCTATCCGCTTTGTTGAACGAGAGGCCGACTCTTTAGCGAGTTCTGAGGGGGGGAGCCAACGCTCGAGTAATTCTTTGTTTCTGCCAAGAGAGCAGGAGAAAATAGGAGGATGGAAGAAGGAGGCAGAAGTAAAAAAAAAAAAACTGCTGTTAAGTTTATGATTGCGTGCACACGCGTGCAAATATGCATATTTGCGTTTTGGGTTGTGCGGCGTGGAGATAAAGAAGGAGAGCAATAAATGCTCGGTGTGTTTTTGTGTGCGCGGAAAGAGAGAGAAGAAGGCCAGGACATAAAGCGAGGCAGCGAGAGAGAGAAAGTGTGTGTGTGGGAGGGAAAGACAGTGTAGCAGAGGGAAAGAGCGATTGGGGGCTGAAAGTGCTTAGGCTGCGAGTGCTGGGTTTAAGGAGCGAGGACATTATTGTAATGTTTTGCTTCCATTAGGGTAAGGGGATTCTGGGAGAGGAAGAGAAAAAAAAATACAGAGTGTAATACCGCACTTTAAATTGCCTGGAAAATGGATGGGGAGAGAAACATTGTGCAGACAGTGCTAAAAGCAAATAACACATTCAAGGATTTTTCTCCCTCTCTTTGCTTCGTTCCCTTCACAGACAGACACACACATACGCACACACACACACAAACAAACATAAACCTCTCTCTCTCTTTCAGGCTAAGCGGAAGGAGCTCTCAGATGGACAACAACCAGCAGGTGGCAAAGCACGCGAGAAAAAGTGCAGGGTGGGGGGGAAGGGACAGCCAGTGGATTTATGAAAATGAAGAGTGGAGAGAGGCTCTTAGGGAGGCCAGCACTTGAGCAAAGTGGGGCGTACAGTTTGTGTAGAGGACGAGAAGAGAGAATAGGGTGGGTTAATCCTTGTGTGAAAAAAACAAAACAAAAACAAAACAACATAAATAACAGGCGACCCTGTTAACCGCGCTCTGCTTTCCTGCACTGGGCCGAGGGGTTTACGGGCATTAGAGAGCAGCATTAAATCTCCAACTTGATTTCATCATGTTGGGAAATAACCTTTTACAGCGTTTCTCTCTCTTCCTCTGTCTTCATCTATCCACTCCCGCTGTCTCTCCGTGATTTTAACTGCTCTTTGGTGGGTGATAGAGAGCAAGCGCCGTGGTCATTCCATTAGGGTTGCTTCTCGGTCTTTCGGGCTTTTCGCAGCGTCGTGTTGGATGCAGGTCATTTTTTCATGCAAACAATTTTACCGTTTTTAGTAATACTCGTGAAGTGGTCGTAATTGCTGGAAACGACTTCCAGTTTGGCCGTTTGAATTCACATAACAAACCTTTGGCAAACCCACATGTGCCAAAACAAATTTAAACAGAGTCCCAGAGAGGCTGACTGAATGTTTACTGCTACCTTTTTAATTTTTTTTTTTTACTAAACCACAACTTATCCATTATTTTGAGGTTGGCAACACATAAAACCCCATTTTCATGTCATATCTATAAGTAATTGTGTCTAATTAGGTTTGTTTCTCAGTTCAGTTGATTCCACAAGTATCAAATAATAAACATGCTTGCAAAAGCTAAAGTTTACTGATATAAAAACTTTTTTCATTTAATAAATAAAGTTATGTTTTTGTTTCGGGTTTCAAGTTCTGAACTCAACGTCCTCAAACCGACTAAATAAAACCTTTCATTTCAGCCTCTGTTATTCACTAGACTTAGCCAACGTACAATTTTTGTTTTGCTCCTTGGCCTCTAATCTTTGTAAGCTCATCGCCGCTGTGGAATGTGAAGAAACACGTTTTCATCTAAAACTTTTACTGCAATGTTGTTTTTTAATATCGCAAACTATGTGTGCAATAATACAAGAAAAAGAAATGTAGGAACTGGTTTATCTAAGAACTCATCAGCAAGTGTCACACAGAATCTCATAAAAACACAACAATAACCTGGTTAATCTTTATCTTGTCAGTTGTTGATCTTGGACATTGCTGACTTTATATAAACCACAGGGACTTACCTCTCTCCTGAGCCATAGGTGAACGTGTGATTGGCAGGTGGGCTCCATCGGGTCCGTTTCCAGAGTTCTGCGGGGTCGCCGTAGAACCTGTGAGGCACACCGAGTCAAACTTTGAAAATTCATATTCATTTGACACACTTTCTATAGCCGCAAACCTTGAAACAAAAGCTGTCAAGAGAGGAGAAAAAATGTTTATCCTGAACTGTATTCCCTTCTTTGTTTGCAAGTGAGATCAACAGAAATTTGATTTATCTTTCACTTTCCATCTGTTTTGCTAGAGAGTAGCAGAAAACTGCACAAAAACGATGTAAACAATCAAGCCCTGAAGGACCACTTTTGTTTTCTTCTCTGGGTATTTTTTTTCCTCAATGGCACAGAAGTTACTCGGTTCAAAAAGTTTCAGACGTTTTATAGAGACAAAAGAAAAAGGGTGACTTTGGATAGACAGCTTGATGCTAAAACCAGCCTTTGCAGATGCACATAAAGCTGTGTGCAGCTCACTGTTAGCTAAATGACAAATGCATCACAAAAGGACCCATCAAGACATTGGATCTAATGTCACTTCTTTGTGTAAGCATTAAAACCAGAGCGGCCCCCTGCAGTAAACCAGGGCCATTTCAGGATCATCGATTCGGTGGTCATTGCGAGTCTTTGGGCTGCAACCGCTCCATTGAAATCCAATAGTGAGTTGAGGGTCTGATCAGGACAATGGCAGACAAAGAGTAAGGCGGATTGATTTGGCCCAGAGGAAGGAAACAGATGGTAAATTGACCTTTTGTCTTAGGATTCAGACAGGAAGCAAAGAGAGGAGGAAAGGACAGGAAGACTTCAGACTGCACTGGTGGCACATGGTTGAGGTGGACGTTTCAGTGTTTAACATTTAAATGAAATGCAGAAACCCAAGACTTGAGAGATATGTAAATGTTTAGTATGCATAAAAATATATGCCTGAAGTAATAATTATGAAGCACAGTTATTAATATTTTGTTGCCCAATGAAGATAAAACCCTCTTACAATAGAAGAAACGTTTCATTTTATTTAATCGCTCGGAAGAATCTGTGCTATTTCAAGATGTGAGCTTACATATATGTGTGTCTGTCCACACACCAGCAGTAACACATGACTGGAGGTGACACACTCTCCACATAAACAAACCCAATTAAGTCAACATAATTGCTTTGCATAAAAATGCATAAACAACATTTCCATCTATCCGCCGCCCACTCGCACTCAGGCGCGCACAAACAAGTAACACGCACAGACGTTAAAGTAATTGCACAAACAAGTGTAAATAAACCCACAAGAAAGCACATGTAAGAGCACAGAGGGATGCATGTACTGAAACATTTGCGCGCGCACGCACGCACGCACGCACGCACGCACGCACACACGCACACACACACAGACCCCCTGCATCACACTTGAAAAGCTCCAGCGGCGCAGCTTCAAAAAGAGAATATTCGATTAGTCTGTCACCATGTTGCAGGAGAGAATGGGAAATATTAGTACGCAAACGCTGAAGCAACTATGAGATAACACAAGAAACACAACCGTGTGCTTTTAAGTGTGTCTGCGTGAATGGTGAAAACATTACTTTAATGCAATTCTTTAATAAAATAAAAAAAAACAGCATTACATTTAGCTCTGCTTTTAAAACTAAAAACAAGTTTAAAGTAAAATCAGCCCTAATATGGAGAGGCTCCACGTAGTATTTGATCAAATTTATCCAAAAGGAATGTCATTCACTCAGTATACAAAAAGTCAAATGGTACTTGTTGAGCCAGCTGTATATTATAAACAAAGTCCAGGTTATCTCCAGTTAGACACCCTGACTGTAATATAACCCTGACTGAAGAAGAGACAAAAGTCACTGATACAAAACAAACAAACAAAAAAAAAAAGCACAATGTAAAGAGGATTTCCTTCCAGGTCCATCACCCTGATACTGTCCCACTGAGCCTCACAGCCTCTATGCAGGATGAAAGGTCCAGGAATCTTTCAACGAGATAAAGATGACACCAAGTGATGAAGGGTGAAGTGAATGTTCTAGGATGCAGAAACTAAATATGGAACAGCGAGAAGATGAAGAATCATTGTGACAAGATAAGCCCCTGCAGCGCACGCACCAAAAACAGATTGAAGAAGTGGCTGATAGAGAAATCCTAACCCGTGGTTAAAGAAGGCTCGACTAAAGGACAGCGTGGCGCCGCAAAGAACATCAAGAAAAGGGTCTTTCATGCAAGATTGGACCCCAGGTGCAGAACGTACAAAGATGTTCAGATGTTCAGCACATAAAAGCAGAGTGCAAAATGTGTCTACATAAAATAACATGTACAGTAATATCTGAGCTGACAAACTGTATGAGAGACACTTACAACCCCAACCTCAATATCCATGACTGCCTTACACAGTTCTGATGATGATGATGGTGTACATTATTTGCAAACCCATGGTCCATAAAACACAAAAAAACAGACAATAAAAAATGAAAAGACACCTTACAAAACAACACTACACCTTCAGGAGACAACCACACAAAGTTTGGATGTGTAACATAAGGAAATGAGGATTAGTCAGAATTAAGATGATTCCATTATTAGACTCATTGAGTCGGCAGTTAAATGTACAGTATACATAAAATTTCTTAAAACAGCCTTCAGCGTACTGACCCCAGCAGAGGCAAACAGTTCACTGGCATTGGTCCTTCCTTAAAGGGATCCCCGATTAGTTGTAACATTAGACTTTATATGATAAACATATACTTTAACTGTAAAACAAAGACTAAAAATACTGTAGGATGATCAGTTTTGTTAATGGAACCATGCGGGACTTCCAGAGCCAGACTCAACAAACAGATGATGGTTAACAACCAGACGTCGTGGCGGCCGATGAACTATAGAATAAGAAGAAAGTAGTGAAAAATGTAGACATCCTGACCAACAAAATCAACTGGAATGTCCTAATACCAGTTTTTCTCAGAGTACGAATACTTCAGTTAGGGTACTTGATGATACCGAGTACAGATACCGAGTATTTACTGAGTTCCTGACTCCTAAATCTAAACARCTGGCCTCTGTCTCTTTAAGAACCTCCTAACATTTCTGACACTRCCACTTCAGAAAATATTCCCAACTAGGGGAGGAGCCCAGCTGCACCCAGAGCTCCAAGGAGGAGCTAGGCATAAATGGGCGGGACTTTGTACCAGCTAGTGTTTAAGCAGCTCCACATGGCTACCACAGGAGATTCAAGGATTTCTCAAACATGCGTGAATGAGTCAAAGCAACACTCTGGGTGTGTTTTTATAAGGGAATGACATTATAGCATGGTTTTGCATAATAAGACTTTAAATATACTATATTTATTTAAACACACAAATAAAAAATACAAAACTATACAGTGGGGAAAATAAGTATTTAGTCAGTCATCAATTGTGCAAGTTCTCCCACTTAAAAAGATGAGAGAGGCCTGTAATTGACATCATAGGTAGACCTCAACTATGAGAGACAAAATGTGAAAAAAAAATTGAGAAAATCATTTTGTCTGACTTTTAAAGAATTTTTTTGCAAATAATGGTGGAAAATAAGTATTTGGTCAATAACAAAAGTTCATCTCAATACTTTGTTGTATATCCTTTGTTGGCAATGACAGAGGTCAAACGTTTTCTGTAAGTCTTCACAAGGTTGGCACACACTGTTGCTGGTATGTTGGCCCATTCCTCCATGCAGATCTCCTCTAGAGCAGTGATGTTTTGGGGCTGTCGGCGGGCAACACGGACTTTCAACTCCCTCCAAAGGTTTTCGATGGGGTTGAGATCGGGAGACTGGCTAGGCCACTCCAGGACTTTGAAATGTTTCTTACGAAGCCACTCCTTTGTTGCCCTGGCAGTGTGCTTGGGATCATTGTCATGCTGAAAGACCCAGCCACGTTTCATCTTCATTGCCCTTGCTGATGGAAGGAGGTTTGCACCCAAAATCTCACAATACATGGCCCCATTCATTCTTTCATGTACACGGACCAGTCGTCCTGGTCCCTTTGCAGAGAAACAGCCCCAAAGCATGATGTTGCCACCCCCATGCTTCACAGTTGGTATGGTGTTCTTTGGATGCAACTCCGCATTCACTTTCCTCCAAACASGACGAGTTGTGTTTTTACCAAATAGTTCTACTTTGGTTTCATCTGACCATATGACATTCTCCCAATACTCTTCTGGAACATCCAAATGCTCTCTAGCAAACTTCAGACGTGCCTGGATATGGACTGGCTTAAGCAGGGGGACACGTCTGGCACTGCAAGATCTGAGTCCCTGGCGTCGTAGTGTGTTGCTGATGGTAGCCTTTGTAACATTGGTCCCAGCTTTCTGCAGGTCATTCACTAGATCCCCCCTCGTGGTTCTGGGATTTTTCCTCACCGTTCTTGTGATCATTTTGACCCCACGGGCTGAGATCTTGCGTGGAGCCCCAGATCGAGGGAGATTAGTAGTGGTCTTGTATGTCTTCCATTTTCTGATTATCATTCCCACAGTAGATTCCTTCACACCAAGCTGCTTGCCTATTGCAGATTCAGTCTTCCCAGCCTGGTGCAGGACTACAATTCGGTTTCTGGTGTCCTCTGACAGCTCTTTCGTCTTCACCATAGTGGAGTTTGGAGTGTGACTGTTTGAGGTTGTAGGCAGGTGTCTTTTATACTGTTAACAACTTCAAACAGGTGCCATTAATACAGGTAATGAGTGGGGGAAAGAGGAGCCTCTTAAAAAAGAAGTTACAGGTCTGTGACAGCCAGAAATCTTGCTTGTTTGTAGGTGACCAAATACTTATTTTCCACCATTATTTGCAAAAAAATTCTTTAAAAGTCAGACAAAATGATTTTCTCAAATTTTTTTTTCACATTTTGTCTCTCATAGTTGAGGTCTACCTATGATGTCAATTACAGGCCTCTCTCATCTTTTTAAGTGGGAGAACGTGCACAATTGGTGACTGACTAAATACTTATTTTCCCCACTGTATATTTAGTTGCAAAATTTAAACTCTTTTTCAATTGACTTAATTAACATGGAACTAACAACCTGTACTTGAAATGTAAACTGTAA